TATATATATATATATATATATATATATATATATATGTATATACAAATGTTTCCTCTGAGATGACTTCTGTTGTGACTTTGAACTATATAAATAGACTAATTGAACTGAAAATTTATGTTTGTAGGCTAAAGCAGGAAATTCCATTGAAATGTTCAGACCAGATTTCACGCCTCGAAATTCAGGGATGAATTGGCTTGCATGACTTCATGCTGCCTCTTGTTTCTGTGCAGGTTCTTGTGGCACCACCGTGTTTCTGGAGCGGCACGAGGGCGAGTCTGTGCTTCTTTCCTGCTCCATGGAGCCGGGCAGTCTGCGGCCGTTTGGCTTCTACCTGAAACGTGGCTGGCTCCTTCCCGGTGAGGTGCTCTTCCTTTACACCATGGCCGAGTTCAGCGTCAAGGACTCGGCTTACAAAGGTCGACTGAGTGTGAGCGGTGACCCGAGCTACCACGCGGTCAATGTGACGATCTCCCAGCTGAGGGCCGCGGACACGGACAGATACTACTGTGAGTTCATGCTGGAGAAAGTCGCCTCTGAGGACGAACGGATTCCAGGGAGGTCTGAATCTTTCCTCCTCGTTAACTCCGGTGAGTCTTATGTCCTCTTTACACTTAATCACATACACACACACGACATGTTGGGTACAGAATGGAAGTTTTGAATTTTTCCAACAGAACAAGTTAATGGCAAGCTTAGGTGCATGCACCAACTAACATTCAGAAGTTTTGGTTTTCAATGAGAAAAATCAGTTAATTTTGATGTTATTTTTGTTGCTGTTTTTTTTTATTTTTAGCACAATTTTTGACCAGAGCTTGTAGAATAGATAAAACCAGTTCATTTTAATTTCTTTCAACCTTTATTTGGACAGGTTAATCCCACTGAGCCTTGAGGACTCATTTGCAAGAGAGACCTGATTTCAACAAATAATGATGACAACAATGACAGCAATAGACAGTTATAAAAGAGGCATACAGATTTTTATTTTTTTTTACAAATTAAAATAAGATGGCAAAAAAAGTAGCAAAATCAGATTATAAGGCGAATGTAGAAAACTAAAAACATGAACCCAACATTTTTCAGTCAGGTCATCTGGACAGTTTCTTTTTTTGTGCTGAAATGTTTCACCTTCCATCCAGAAGGCTTCATCAGTCAAGGAGACACACAACAAAACTGATTCTTCCCCCAACTGCTTACTCCAAAGTGGAACAAACCAGTTTTGTTTGTGACAAGATGGTCTCTTTGGTACGCCCCCTCCTCCATTGCCAGCCCCCTTCCTTGTTGACAGTCGTGTCAAACTGGTTGAAAACAACAAAGTCCATCCATCCATCCATCCATTTTCTTTACCCGCTTATTCCATTTTGGGTCACGGGGGTCGCTGGTGCCCATGTCCAGCAATCACTGTGCGAGGGGCGGGGGACACCCTGGACAGGTCGCAAGTCCATCACAGGGCCATATAGAGACAAACAAACATTCACTCTCTCACTCACACCTAGGGACAATTTAGAGTTACCAATCAGCCTAACATGCATGTTTTTTGGACTGTGGGAGGAAACCGGAGTACCCGGAGAAAACCCACGCATGCACGGAGAGAACATGCAAACTCCACCCAGAAAGGCCCCTGGACCGGGGTTTGAACCAAGGACCTGCTCACTGAGAGGCAGCAGCTCTACCAGTTGCGCCACCGTGCTGCCCAACAACAAAGTCCATGCTCAATAATCCAGGTATACAATCCAACATTTTTCAGTCAGGTCATCTTCCTTCCGGATCGAAGGCGAAACATTTCAGCACAAAAAAGAAACTGTCCAGATGACCTGACTGAAAAATGTTGCATTGTATACCTGAATTATTGAGCATGGACTTTGTTGTTAAAAACAGGAACATGTCTGCGTTGGTTTTTGCCAGGAGTCCATCCATCCATCCATATGCCATCTTTTACCCGCTTCTTCCATTTTGGGTCACAGGGGTCGCCGTTGCCCATGTCCATCAAGCACTGTGCGAGGGGCGGGGTACACCCTGGACGGGTCTCCAGTCCATCACAGGGACACATAGAGACAAGACAAACAACCATTCACTCTCTCATTCACACCTAGGGACAATTTAGAGTTACCAATCAGCCTAACATGCATGTTTTTGGTCTGTGGGAGGAAACCCACCATTCATGGAGAGAACATGCAAACTCCACCCAGAAACTTCTAATCTTTAGTCTCTGTAGCCATCGTTACTGGACTCATGGTTTGTAGACACAGTTGTGGGGTTTGTAGGGGAACATGTATTTTATATTTGTATTTATACTTGTTCTGCGTATCTGGTAGATTTCTCAGGGTAGCCTGTTTGGTAACTACATATGGGTAAATAGTGCAAAGGATGTATTGTGTAATAAAAGTACAGAACAAACTCATGGTGCTCAGAGTGGACAAACAAACCAGCAAACATAGAAGGGTAATAAATACATAAATAAGGCATACAGTAAGATATATATGGTGTATATATTATATAGACGGATGGATGGATAGACGGAGATAGATAGATAGATAGATAGACAGACAGACGGACGGACGGACGGATACTTAGATAGATAGACGGATGGATGGATGGATGGACGGATAGACGGAGATAGATAGATCGATCGATAGATGGATGGATGGATTCATTCAAACAGATAAATCACATTGAGCCTCGAAGACTCATTTACAAGTGAGACCTGTTTGGACAGACAAAAACAGTGGTTAACTAGACACATGTAGGAGTTGGAGGCGAAAAAAATTCCTATCAGACTTTTTTCTTGGCTGAGAAAAACCCCTAATATTGAAAAAACACCTCGCACAAACAAGCACATATTTACATAGACATTCTGCAGAGCAGAGCAGGAATAAAGAAGAGACGACACCGGTCAACAACGTCTACAGGTGCTCTCGAGGTCACTGTAATCAGTCAATATCCTCCAGTGAGATCCATAAACATTCTCGAGGTATGTCGAGGAATGGCCAAGAATAATCCCCGAGTATCCAAGAGTCCTGAAATGATGACTAAGTTTTTTCAGCTGGATTTCATCTGGTTATCAGTTGGAAATTCTTCAGGGAGTGGGGTGGTGAGTGTCAGATCACATTTTCTCCAGGCGAATTTCAGACAAGGTGGCCTCCAAGGACACCAAGGCGACCAAAATTTAGATAAACACACAGTTGTTTTGGGGACAGGCAGAACTTAATGACATCAACCTTGAGTCTGTGTTTGGTCCACTCGGTTCCGAAATGTCCAAAATAACATGACCACACCGATGGAACATGTCTGAGTAAAAATCCCCAAGATCTGATCCATTCAGCCCAAAGCATTTGAGTCCGGGTACTCCAGACATGAAACCAAACCATCATAAAGGCAAGCAGCATGATCGGGTCCAAATTTGCTGCTGATGACTTCCTTGGTTGTAGATAAATACCAGGACCAGCTGAATCCAAAAAGCAGGAACTGGTTATCGTGAATCCAATTAAATATGCGTCCTTAAAATCCACAGATGGCAGCAGAGATAGACACATCATGAAGTCTTCCAGTCGATGAGATATCCAGCTGCGTACGTGCCAACAGGGTAAATCGGCTCGCCTAAAGCCTGTCTTCTCTTGAAGAAATGTTGAACATTGAGTTGAGGGACCAACTGGTCAGAACAAGTCCATAATTATGGTTCGGGAGAAATGCAAGAGAGTCTCAGAGTCTCAGAAGCAGTTTCACAGACAGACAGAGCAGCAAAGCGGAGAGGGAGGGAGGGAAGCATCCGATCTCGGCTTGAGCAAGTGGTGAAGTGATGGATGGATGGACGGATGGACAGATAGATACTTAGATAGATAGACAGAGATAGATGGATGGATGGGCGGACGGACGGATGGATAGATACTTAGATAGATACTTAGATAGATACTAAGATATATAGATAGATACTAAGATATAGATACTTAGAAACTTTATAATCCAAAGAGGGAAATTCGAGGCATCCAGTAGCATTTTCTACTTTGTACATAAGTATCCGGGGTGCCGCAGATTAGATGTCAGATTACAGTAAGGCCACTCAGTGTTCCACCTTTCAATAAAAAGTATTATAATTGTATGGGTTTTTTTGTAATCCAAGGAATTTAGTAAAAAGCTCTTCAAATAGCTGGAATATAAATAGGTTTGAATAGGTTTGTTCAAAATGTTACAGAAAGGGGGGGGCTGCTTTGTGTCTCAGTGCTCACAGATATGTCTATAATGTCTAAGTATGTAAAGATGTCCCTCGCTGCCATCAGCAAATTTTGGCAAGAATGAGAATACAAGTGTTGAACGGAAATGCCCAAAGACAAGCTATGGAGTTTAAAACTTGTTTATTTTACTTCACCAGTATGTTCTCAACAAATTAGGTTTGAATCTGAGTCATGTTTTTAAAATGTTGCTTGACTCAGGTTTAAAAAATCTACACCTTCAACTTGTCTACTTGTAGACGCCTTCCAATGACTTTTTGGTTTCAAAAAAAGGATGCAAGTACCACAGTAAGTGTCCAACAAAAAAGATCCTAATGGAATATTTCAGTTTTTATTCATTTTGCTAATTACCAATAGACTATCTAATAATTTCCCCAGAAGTCTGTACAAGCTTACAACGGGAAACAATGATATGACACTGGCCAGGGGTTGTGACCAGTTCTGATTAAACCCTAAATCCAGTTAAACCCTTTTAAACCAGACTGATCTCTGATCACTTTTTAAATGTTGATCAATAGATCAGCTTTATTGTTACTTGGATTTTATTCCCTGTTTCCTGGAGATGGCCTGGTGGACGTGGTCCTGGTGCAGACATGCTCTGGGGGTTCAGCCGTGCTTCCCTGTCACAGTCCAAATGGGGAAGGTTTGGCCGTGGAAGGGGTGAGTCTGAAGAGGCAAAGAGGCCAAGAACCAGTGGAGGTGGTGTACGACTCAAAGCGGCACCACAGCGCCAGCCATTTTCCTGCTGAACAGGTCCAGCTGTCCTCTGCACCCGGCCCCGGTGGCATCGCCTACAATGTGACACTGCAGCAGCTCCAACCAGAGGATAGCGCCCTCTACAGCTGCCATCTGCTCCAGCGAGGTAGACCTGATCACAACACCCATCTAGGGAGACGAGCGTTCTTTGTTTCTGTGGAAGGTGGGTCACACAACAGTAGAAGATGATCACCAAATCACTGGCAAAGCTTTTCTTGTAAAATAAAGGTCCATTAACTATGGTTTGTTCGTTAAAGTCATGTGCTTCCCTCGTCCCTTTTGTGTTGTGGCCACCACTGGCTTCTACTAACAAAACTGACTTGAACGGGTACCGTAAGTTCCGGTCTATAAGCTGCTACTTTTTTCACAGGCTTTGAAACCCATAGCTTATACAATGCTGTGGCTAATTTATGGACTTTTTTTTTATTTTTATGGGTTAACGAGCTTCCTGCCACCAAAAACATTTAGCTTCATCACACCCATATGCTCACATAGTTGCCCAATACACGTCTCTCTTGGGGGGTGGGTCTTCGTGACCGAGACTATCTGTATAAATAAAAGTTAAAAAAATTCTGACCAAGGAAATTACAACAGATCACAGTCAAACCAATGAAACGGGGAGGAGAGAACAGGGAGGGGGGCAATCTCTCCCCATGTGTAGAACATGTGAGGAGGGGACTCCCCTGCATGTCCAGAGCATATGAGGGGGGACTCCCCTGCATTTGCAGAGCATGGGTGTGGGGTGGTGGGGGGGGGGGGATGACTCCCCTGCATGTGCAGATTGTATGTGTGTGTGTGTGTGTGTGTGTGTGTGTGGGGGGGGGGTGTTCTCCACTGCATGTGCAAAGCATGTGAGGGGGGAACTCCCCTGCATGTGCAGAGCATGTGAGGGGGGACTTCCCCTGCATGCACAGAGCAACTTTTGCTCCGCAGAGCACAAGCTTGCAGCAGACCGAAGATGAAGCTAATGATCAATAACTTCCTGGTAGGTTACTGTATTTTTTCAACAACAAAAGAGAGACTGAGGACGTGTGTGATGAAGTTTTTCTGAGGCTGTTCCATTGTGACACTGAAGAAGATGACTTTAGTGGTTTTAGTGCAAAGGAGGAAGATGAAAATAGCTTTTCCTGGTAGGCTACTGTATTTTATTTGATTTTTTTAACCAAACGACTGGCCAACTTTCGTTAATGTACATCAGTATTCCAGTTTTTTTTTCTTTCTCACCCACTCTCCTGCTGCTGTCACTACTAACAGAGTAATAATCTAAACTGTAAACAAATTCAGAACAATGATTTAAAATCTGCTCTTGTACTGAATATAAGAATGAAGTTGTTATAGTAACTGGAGCTTTTTTTTTAATACAATTAAAAAAAAATCATATTTTTCACCAGTTTTTTAAGATTTCTTTCCATTTTGAGCTAGTCAGTTCAGAGATTTTAGTTGTGCTGTCAGAAAAGATGAAAAAACTATTAAATATTACCAAATCCATTTGTGCTAAATAAGGTCATGGTCAAGATTTTCTTTGTCATTCACATCACATGTGGTACATGTGGTGCACATTACATTACAGCACATTACAGCACATTACACCTGTTTTGGCCTCCCTACACTGGCTTCCGGTTCACCTTCGAATCAAATTCAAAATACTCTTGTATGTCTATAAATCACTAAACAGCTCTGCCCCCTCCTATCTTACTAATCTGCTCCAGCCGTATGTCCCATCACGTTCTCTCAGATCAGCAGACCAGTTACTCCTAACAGTCCCAGGAACCCGCCTCAAGCGCAGAGGTGACAGGGCCTTCTCTGTAGCAGGCCCAAGACTTTGGAATGAGTTACCTCTGCTCGTTAGACAGGCCCCCTCCCTCACTGTTTTTAAATCTCGCTTAAAAACACACTTTTATTCCCTGGTTTTCTGCACTGTGTGATCTGTGCTGAGTCTGTGTGCATCACACTGTGTTGGTCATGTTGCGGTTGTTGTTGTTATCCATTATTGTTTTTGTTGGTTTCTACTTTTTGGTGTCCTGTTATGTAATCTGTTGCTGTGTGCTTGTTCTGTTTGTCCCTGTACAGCACTTTGGTGTGCTTTGTCACTGTTTAAACGGTATGGTATGGTGGTGGAATGAAATTGTGTACACAGGGTCCCAGTTACATCCAACAGAAGTATAAATTATAAAAGAAAAACAGTAATAAGATCTAAGATATGAACTAAGAATACGCTAAACACTTAATAGTGCAAAATGGTAAATGGACTGTACTTATATAGCGCCTTTCTATCTTATTTCGAGACACTCAAAGCGCTTTACACTACAATCTGTGTCCTCATTCACCCATTCATACAGCACTCTACTAGATCTCTACAAAGCTAATTGAACAAATAATAATAATAATAATAATAATCATTTTATTTAAAAAGCACCTTTCATGACACCCAAGGACACTTTACAGTAAGAACAAAGATCAACAGGAATAAATTACATAAAGAATATAAAATACATAAAGAATATAAAATACATACAGAATATAAAATGCATAAAGAATATAAAATACATACAGCAAAGTTAAGGATAAGCAAGTCTAAAGAGATGTGTTTTCAGAGCAGTTTTGAATATAGAAAGAGGTGGTGTTTCTTAAGTCAGGGGGTAGAGAGTTCCAGAGATGAGGAGCAGAGCAGGTGAAGGCCCTGCTCCCCATGGTGGAGAGGCGGGCAGAGGGTACATGGAGGTGTAGTGAAGAGGAGGATCTGAGAGAGCGAGAGGGGATGGAGATGTGTAAGACGATAGGTACGGAGGGGCAAGGTTGTGGATAGCTTTGAAAGTGAGAAGAAGAATTTTGAAGACGATGCGTGAATTAACCGGGAGCCAGTGGAGCTGCTGCAGGACTGGAGTGATATGGTTGTAGGAGGAGGTTTGAGTTATGACACGGGCAGCTGAGTTCTGGACCAATTGCAGCTTCTGGAGAGATTTGTTGGGGAGGCCATAAAGAAGGAAGTTGCAGTAGTCAATCCGAGAAGTCACAAGACTGTGAACAAGGATGGCTGTGGAGCGGGGTGTGAGAGAAGGGCGGAGACTGTTAATATTTCTGAGATGGAAATAGGCAGACCGAGTGACATTGTTAATGTGTGAAGTGAAGGAGAGAGTGGTGTCGAGGATGACACCAAGACTCATGACCTGAGGCGAGGGGGATAGCAGAGAGTTGTTAAGGGGGATGAGAAGATTTTCTGATTTTGAAAGAGAGTTTTTGGTACAGACAAGAATGATTTCTGTTTTGTTACAGTTTAGTTGTAGGAAATTGTTAGAAAACCAGTGATTTAGCTCATTGAGACAGTCGGTGAGGATGGAGGGTGGGTGGGTGGAGTTTGGTTTTGTTGACAAGAAATCATTCTAATGAGACTAATCAGAGCTTTATCACATTCATACACTGATAGGACACACATCAGAGGCTATGAGGGGTTCAGTGTCTTGCCCATGGACACTTCGGCATGTGACTGCTGGTGGATTCGAACTCCCAATTCTTGCATTGGCGGATGACTGCTCTAACCACTCAGCCACAGCCGCCCCTCAAAAAACAATACATAAGCATTGCAAAAGATGAACTAAAGTCCCCAGCACGAACTTTATGCCAAAAAAGATGCAGTCTGAAGTCAAATTTATTTATAAAGCAAATTTAAAACAGCAGCTGTTACCAAAGTGCTTAACAATAAAGTTGACAGTTTTTGAAGTTTACGTCCATTCATTGTGGATTCATTTTATTTTAGGGCTTTCAGTGTTTTTTGACTTCTTTTGCAGAAATGAATTTTACAAACCAGAATTAGGTTCACAAGTTTGATTTTACTCAGGACTTTCTCTAATCCACGCAAGGCTCAAATTTATACGATACATACATTAATCTGAATTCTTTTAAAAAGTGGTGCTGAAGATTCAGAATCAGATTATCGGAATAAGCTTTATTATAATTGTACCGAGATGCAGCAAGAATATGTTCGTACAGTCGTCCGGAAGATGGGCGGAGTGCACGTTGCTGCTGCTCTTTGAGAGCACGGCCTCTTATACTTTTCTGAATACTTTTAAATAGAAAAGGAGAAAAGGCCATGAGGGTGGATAGTGGTATTACAAAAAAGATCTCTTCACATCTTGTCCTGTCAGGACACGATTTAAGCTGGTGAAGATTCTCAGTCATCCAGGACATAATGAATTCAAAAAGCGTTCAATACAAAAACAACTGGAATTTATTTGTAACAGAAGACGTTTCGCTCCTGATCCGAGGAGCTTTCTCAATTCAAAGAGCAGGGAGTGAGAGATTCAGGTTATAAGGCTGAGTGAGATAAGACATGCAATGAACTATATCTGTTGATATTATTCATAAATTAAACGGATTCTTTCATTTTTCTGGACTGAGTAATATCGTGCATTGAATGATTAAATGTGACGTGAGACGTTAATTTTCTTTGACCCATCAAAATGAACGTAGATGTAGATGAACATATGCATGAGATATATTCATAAATTAAACGGATTCTTTCATTTTTCTGGACCGTATATAATGTGCATTGAATTTAGAAATGTAACGTGAGACATTAATTATCTTTGACTCACCAAACGACAGTGGGTCATTTATTAACAGAATCAAAATTTAACATGAAACATTTACATTAATTTGGCAAAATTGATTACAATAACACATAGCTTAATTAATTAGCTTTACAATTAGGAAACCATACGGCCATGGTTTCCACTTGCAGCTTTTAAACCAACAGACATTTCTGAAAATATCTGGATGATTACTGGAAGATAGAAGAGTTTAAAGATGGGAAATGAAGGAGTTTAAATGGAGAGAGATGGGTGAGGGAATTTGTCTGTTATAACCAGAACAACACGCTCCTTTGGACCCAGCTTAACCCACGGTACACTTCGCAGTTGAAGATCGACTCTTTACCTTTGCAGATGATAGTTCGGCCTCGGTGTAGAGTTCTCTTTCAACGCTTTCCAGCGTCTCCGTAAGGATAGCAGAGAACCGTTCGGAGTAGTGACGGTACTTCGTTCGACACCAGCTCACCTCTCGGGTGGGCTCGCATGAGCTGTGAGTCCGTCAGAGGTTCCACTCAGATGTGGAAGATTCCATAATCCCCACGAGACTCGGAACTTTGTTCTGCGTTCTGCGTTCCGAACTGCATTCTGCACTCTGAACTGAACTTTGTTCAGCTTAGTTCCCGTTGTTCTACTGGAACTAGGAAGTGTTGACCCTTTTAAAGAGGTCACTTCCGGTTCCTCATGAGAACTTCCCAATTGGTTGAAAGAACCAATCAGGGGTGTGGTTTTGGTGACGTAAGAGGTCACTAGAAGTCAGAAAAAAATTTAATGTTTAGGAACAGATAAAGAGATGTTTTAAGAACAGACAGAAAGATGTTTTGAAGAAACAGAGACTTTTGGAGCCAGTCTCCTCCTATCTGTCTGAAAAAGTTAAACATGACATTTCTTTCCAGTAAACATGTTTTTGACCGAAACTTGACTTTTGACCGACTTACAACTTGCTCATTTCAGACAGAAAATCAAAATGCATAATTACTCTTGTAACAAACATTAACTTGATTTCTACTTTGAATGAGGATTAAAAATAATTTATACTGTTTCACAGTTGATTTAAAATGAGTAGTTCACTTCAACATTTAAAATGGTTTGAACTAAACACACTTTTGATTATCAAGACATTTGTAAAATAGTAATGATAATAAAAAAGAGAGTGTTCTTTCAATTGATCAGTGCAGGACACACTTAGAAAGTCTCTGGATGAACTTAATTTTGTGTTTCTGGACTCAAATCAATGAAGTAACAGTTCTTGTCCCAGGAAGGCCCTCAAGGCCAGATTTGACCTGAGGCTTAGTTCACTACAGACACACGCACATATGTAGATGAACATATGCATGAGATATATTCATAAATTAAACGGATTCTTTCATTTTTCTGGACCGTATATAATGTGCATTGAATTTAGAAATGTAACGTGAGACGTTAATTATCTTTGGCTCACCAAACGACAGTGGGTCATTTATTAACAGAATCAAAGTTTAACACATCACACATTTACATTAATTGGCAAAATATGGAAAATAACAACATGGCTAATTTTAGCAAGCTGTACAATTTTGATTGACCACACGGCGGTGGTCAGAAACTTTACACAGACATTTCTAAAATATCTGGATTAATTTCTACTTGATAGAAGAATTTTAAAGATGGAAAGATGAAGTTTAGAGGGAGAGAGATAGTGTGTGTGTGAGTGAAAAGTGTTGGACAGAACGACACCCTCCATTCGACCCAGCTTTCCTCGGTACGCTCGGTAGTCAACTCGACTCATTACCTCTCTGACGATGAATCAGTGAAAGCGGAGCTCCGGTTACGCTACCGGTCCAGCGTCTCCGTAGGATGGCAGAGAACCGTCCGGAGTGGTGACGCGACTTCGTCAACAACAGTTCAGCTCACGGTGGACTCACATGAGTGGAGTCCTTCAGAGTTCCACCCAGAGGTGGAAGATGTTATAATCCCATAAGACTCGGAAGAGCTCTGTGGTCATGTCAGGATCTTCCTGTTTCCCAGCACGGGAGCTGCAACGACTCCAAACTCGACTCTCGACCCGACTGGAAACTCCACACGACTCTCGACACTGGTTTGAACTAGGAAGTACCGACATTTTAAAGAGCTCTATTTCCGGTTCATTTGGGAGTTTCTGATTGGTCAATATCGACCAGACAGGGGTGTGTTTTGTGATGTAAGAGGTCACTAGGAGTCAGAAAAACGGCAAGGATGTTATGGAACAGATTGAAAATGTTTTTAGAGACAGGGAGAGAAATGTTTGGGCGAGTTGGCGGAAAACAGGTGCCAACAGGTGCCAGCTTCTCTATTTACGTCTGAGAGGATGTAAAAACAAGACAGTTCGTTCCAACACTTGTCTGCGTTTGAGTCCAACCTTGGACCAACTTACCCTGCTCATTCAAAGACAGAAAATCAGAAAATGCATAATTACTCTGTAACAGACCTTAACATGAATTCTAACTTTGCATGAGGATTAAAAATCATTATTACTGTTTCACAGTTAATTAAAAATGATTAGTTCACTGTAGCATCTAAAATGGTTTGAACTAAAACACTTTGATTATCAAACATTTGTAAAATAGTAATGATAATAAAAAAGAGAGTGTTCTTTCACTTGAATTTTCAAGAAAGAAAGTCTCAGGATGGGTCAACCTGTATTTCTGGATTCAAATCAATGAAATGACAGTTTCTGTCCCATATGGTCCTTAAGGTCAAATCCTGACCTTAGGCTTAGTTCACTACACATATGTAGATTGGCAATTCACACCTAAACAAACTTAACAGTAAGAGTCTTTTGTTACTCTAATTCACAGACGAGGCCCCTTTGTTTCCATCAGGTGTGAAAACCGGCTGGGAATCTGTTTTAAAGTTGCATTATAGGTTTTTGAAAGTGGAAATCTGAGGCCTCCTCCTCTGTTAAGAGACGGCTTTTCTCTTTTTACATAAATTGCTTCCTTGACCCCCCTCTCAAACCATCTGTGTTCTCGGTCCAAAATGTGCACATTTTGGTCCTCAAAAGAGTGTCCCTTATCTGTGAGGTGGAGGTGAACAGCTGAGTCTTGTCCTGTGGAGCTGGCTCTCCTGTGTTGAGCCATGTGTCTGTGAAGAGGCTGTTTAGTTTCTCCAATGTAGAGGTCTGGACAGTCCTCGCTGCACTGGACCGCATACACTACACCACTCTGTTTGTGTATGGGTGTTTTGTCTTTAGGGTGGACCAGCCTCTGTCTGAGAGTCCTGCTGGGTTTGAAATGTACTGGGATGTTGTGTTTGTTGAAAATCCTTCTGAATTTCTCTGATACTCCAGCAACATAAGGGATGACAATGTTTTTCCGTCTGTTGTTCTCCTTTTTCAGTTTATTGGTGCGTTTTGTAGATTTCCTCACTGACTTGACAAAAGCCCAGTTAGGATATCCACATGTTTGAAGAGCTTCTTGAATGTGTTTCTGTTCCTTTTCCTTACCTTCCGTCTTCGTGGGGACACATTCGGCCTGATGTTGTAAAGTTCTGATGACAGAGAGTTTGTGTTCCAGTGGATGGTGGGAGTCAAACAGAAGATACTGGTCTGTGTGGGTTGATTTTCTGTAAACTTCAATGTTGAGGCTGTCCTCTCTCAATCTGAAACAAACAGTCCAAAAAAGGCAGTTTGTTGTCATTTGCATTCTCTCTGATGAACTTGATGTTGTTATTGACCGAGTTAATGGCCACCACTTATTATTCTCCACCACTTATTTCAGGTTCAATGACAGTTTTTACAGACAGAAGCATGGCTGTGTCATGGGATCTCCAGTGTCACCCAGACATTTGATAGTCGGCTCGTATCCGAGGCCAAGTGGGGGAGTCAGATTCAGATAAGCCACAATTGTTGATTTTCTTCAGGCAGACTGTTTTTCTTGTCAGCCTTGAGTCCTGCTTGCACTTTCTCAGTCCAAAATGTCCAGATTTATGGGTTTTTCACTCCACTGATCCACGTTATGAGCCTCCCCAAGATCGATCCCAACATGCTGTCAAGTCCTAAAGCTGCAGGTGACCTGCGATTCTCACAAATCGTCTCCATCTTAGTGTTTAACTCATTAATCTGCTGATTTTGAGTTCTCATAGCACGAACCAAACACAGACTCGGGAGCTTTTCCATGGTCAAAACTGCTGCCAATGTCTTCTTCAAAAGTTGATAAAACAGAGCCCAGCCGATGTCAAAGAGCAGAACCCCTGCTATCATAAATCCAAATATATAAACGTCTTCATCATCCTCCCGAGACAGAACTGAGAGACACATCAGCTGATGTACCCTGCAATGTGAGTCTCAGCCGGGCGAGAGGGTTCTCTAGGACCCTGTCATTTTGTTGAAAAGATTTTCTAGATTTCGTTGAAAGTCTATTTCGTCAGATTCCTAATAGTATTTTTCGTTTGAGAGATGTGCCCCAGGAGCTCCAAACACAGAGAGCAGAAGCAGGGGTAAAGAGAGAACAGGGGGAGAGAGAGGGGAGCGTCTGTCTTGAGCGAGAGCCAGAGGAGAAAAAAAAAGGATATCTTTTAACGTGAAACTGTCTTCTAAATTGTTGATGGTGATTGTGATAATTTTCAGCATAAAAAAGATTGCCCTGTCCGTATCAAAGCCATTTCTGTGGACAGAGAGGGCTGCGAAAGAACAGCAAAATAAAAAAAAGAGCTTTCTGTTAAAATGACAAAATGCATGTTTGGATGATTCAGGTGAGGCTTTCAAACCCTTCAATCATCATCAAGCATGGTGGTGATAGTATCATGCTCTGGTACTGGTGCATCACAGGAAGTGGAATTCTCCTCAAATCAACAACTAAACAAAGGACAATGATCCAAAACTCATCGGATTGGATAAAGTGAGCTAACTTTACAAAGCTCCGACCTCAGCCCATATATAGACTACAATCAAAGGTCAGGTCTGTGCCAGGACACCAGCCAGCTGAAATTAAATAGCAATTGTAACAAAAGTAGTGGACAGATATGGGGATGCCGTTTGTAAAGTTACACACCCCATAGTCAGATCTCAGCAAGAATCCTTTCAGGATATTGTTGAGGTGTTTCTGTCTGACACTGTGAAGGTCATTCTGCTGGTTTGCTTATCTTCTACTAACAGCCATCACCTCCCAGCCGTGTCAAAGATCCTCTTTTTTCCAGTGTGAGGGTGAAGTTTATACTTTGGTTAACGACTTGCCGAGTTCTAATCTTCTCATCTTGCAGACAAGCCTTGTCTAACATTTCTGTCCCTTCAGAATAACAAAATACTCAAACTGCAGCCTAAAAGTAGGAAGGAAGTTTTGTGGTTTCTTCTTTTTCATTGAGCTGTCATACATGTGCTGATATTGTGCTGTTTTTGTTTTCACATGCCTTTTTTTTTAATCTTGCATCATCTTGTCCTGGTTGTTGTTTTTGTGTCTCTGCAGGTGATCAGTGCGGCTGCGACCGCTACGACATTCTGCTGTACGCTCTGTCAGGAGCCGTGGGCCTTCTCCTCGCGCTCCTCGTTGGATTTATCGTGAAGTTTAAAGTGAGTGGCTCTTTAGGATTCAAACGTGCTGCTCTGACATGACACACCAACAAGAGGTGACAGATAACTGACAGATTGCAGCGAAAGAACACCTGCGAGCGTGGCAGAAAGTTCCTCTCAGCTCACCACAAAACCACACAAGTTTCACAAGAGTTACTGCAACGTGTCAGCATGTTTTTCTTAAAGTTTCACAGGGGCAGTTATTTAAACTTTTTGTAGAATTTAATTTACATGAGTGCTATTAAACAATACTAGGGAGATGTTTTTTTTTTAGGGTTTCTATGTGTGGGCAGAAAATGGCGTACGTTCATTTTGGCACAGGAAATCTCGAGTGTGTGTCAACTATGTTTGTTCCCTTCACTGATTTGTTTTCCTTCTGTCTCAACGGCTGTCAGGTCAAAGCTCGTCGCAGCACACGTTCGCAGCCTCAGCCACCCATCTACGAGGAGATGGTCGGGGTGCAATCGCCCAGCCAGAAACTGGCCCCCCTGCATCTAGACAAAGGGGAGTACAAAAACTGCTCGGTGAGGAAGACCACTGCTGAAAACCATTACGAAAGCCCCAGCGGTGCTCTCTTTGAATGAGTCTCAGAAATAAAATGTTTGACCTTTTTTCCACCAACAGTATTAACTAGAATGACCCAAACTGCCTCACATTCACAGAACTACCTTCCTCTTCTAGCTTGAATTATTATTGTTATTATTATTATTATTTTACTTTTGTTGTAAAAAAGTACATTTTGGTGTATTCGTGTGAACTTGCTAGAGAGCTATTTTAATATTAATAGCATATGTTTAGTTATTATTGTCTTCAGATTATTTTAAAATCAAAATACATAATCATACTTCTGGCAATATGTTAATTTAAAATATACAAACTTTGACATTAGACATAAATATCAAGACAAACCAGAACTTTAGATGATTCCAGCTGTACTAAATAACAGTGCAAGCAATAAAAAATGCTATCTGATGATCTTGTTTGGTTGTGCTTTTATTCTCAAGTTATTGTAAAACAAAAAAAATAATAAAATCAATAACTATAGATTTGTGATCATTTGCACCTGACAGCAGATCACACTGGTTGTTTCTAGGGTCCATCAACACCCCACCAGCAAATCTGACTTTAAATCCCTAACATTTTTATTTCTTTGGAAAAGACTGAGGAATAGGAGCTGCCAGACTAACATGTTAATCCACAGCTGCTCATGTGGTCTGTTTTTTAGACTATTTTTCTCTTGAAGCATCCAGCTGTGAGACGATATGAGTTTTTTTTTTTCTTCTTTTCTTTTGGCTGTTCCCTTTTTCATGGGTTGCCACAGTGAACAAAAACTTGCACGAAGACTTGGCAGTTGTTTTCATGCTGGATCCCCTTCCTGATGCCACTACAGATCATTGAGCTACCACAGCTCTCTGTGTGGAGCAAGGGGCTGCCACCTAGGGCACCCAGGGGAGCAGATGGTGGGGAGTTAAGGGCTTTGCTCATGGGACAAATGAGGGTGGAAGCAGGTGTGGATTTTTCACCTTTCCCACCCACGTTTTGGTGGTGTCGATCCGGAGAGTTGAACCGGCAACCTTCCGGTCACAGGCCCACCTTCTCTAACCTTTGCACCACCACTCCTCTTATATAATATGAGGTTAAGCTGACTAATTCTGAGAAAGATACACTCTTTATTACTTCTGCTTTGAGCAACCAGTTCCAGTTTTGATGGCAAAAATGTCTTAACGAGATGCTGTCACCACAGTCGTTGGTATAAAATGCACTTAGTGTTCTCGGAACATCAACATTTCCTGTAGAGAGCTTAAATCTTTCCTACACCAGCTGCATCAGGTCCAAATTGGCTAAAACTATACCTGGTTTTAGCTCAGATTTACGCACATCATTTGCTCCCACCATTTGATGGTGACCCCATTTGATGAATATCTGATTCATGGCTCAAACAGTGCCATACCAGTGAAAAGTCACCCATCAGGTTCAGCGTGTGTAAGCAACAAGCACTATTGTTGCTATTGTTGTTACACTATTGTTTCAAACTACAAAATACATTACAGCAAAAACTGGTTCATCCCAAAATCCAGTCCCCCGGCACAAACAGAGTAATATTGTGTATGCTGTTCAGTGCCAGGAGGGTGATCAGTCTTACATTGGGGAAACTAAACAGCCACTGGCCAAAAGGATGGCCCAGCACAGAAGAGCAACAACATCAGGCCAGGACTCTGTGGTCCTCACTCATCTCCAGGCCAGCGGTCACTCTTTCAGGGATGAAGATGTTCACATCCTGGACAGAGAGGAACGATGGTTTGAGAGAGGAGTAAAAGAGGCCATCTTTGTGAAAAGAAATTGTCTATCATTAAACAGGGGTGGAGGCCTCCGGGTTCAACTGTCCCCCTCTTACAATGCTGTTATTGCTAGTATCACTTAGCTCTCTGTGAATAGTAAACAGCCATCAGGTGCCAACGATCTATTGTTAGGCTCATGGTCCTCCTTTTACATGTGAACAGCTAGTTTTGGTTGACACCAGCAAACTGAAAATCTACTGAGGAGGTGCTATTTATAAGACTGGGTTTATTACAGCTCCTCAGACTGACAAAGTCTTTTGGATAAAAAATGAAACATTTCAACAAGAAGAATCTGTCCAGAGGCTCTGACTTAACTTTTTTAGATTTTCTACCTGGATTATTGAGCATCAGGATAACAAGCATTTTTGTGTCTTCAGAGCAAAGTGCAATCTGCACATCTGGCACAAACACAGAAGGTAAAGCAGCAACAGAGAAAAAGAGAGACATGTTTTCTCACAGTGAGATCCAGGTGGTATTGGATGAAATACAAAGTGACTCCTTAAAATTCCATGAACGTCTCTCTGTATCAGAGAGGACTTGTAACATTTTCTACACTGTTGCTGCATTTCCCTATTGTTACGGTTTTTTAAATGGGCCCAAAGTTTCTATATGGGCCTAAGGGTGCTCATCACAACCAGTCCCCACTCAAAAGGATTCACACAGTCGTGATTACATGCATCTCCTCCACAACAGCCTGCAAACATCTAGGAACTTGAGATCAGTTGTTGGGAGTTTCTGGAGAACATTGTCCCAGTGTTTTCTGTTATAGAACTAAACAGTCCTGCATCATCTTTGCCAGATTTTTCATTTTACTCTGCGCCACATGTCAACTGCTGAGAGGTCAGGACCCAGACGTGCTGCTTTAATGCACACAGTGTGCAGTTTAGTATGGTCTTCCTGAAATATGCACAACCTTCCCTGAAGAAAAGTGTTATCTGAATGACAGCATACTACTGGATAGTCCCTTTCCTCTTTAGTAAGGAGGATTTAGCGTCCATGGTTTTCACAAAGTTTCACATTTTAATTTGACCACAGAACAGTTTTCGCTTTCCTTCATTCCATTTTTTATATTTTATATTTTCTGACAGCAATACAGAGTTACAGTCATCAAACAGAAACATCTAGACATTTTCATTCAACCTTGATTTACAAGTATACGGTTAGCTCCACTGAGCCTTGGTGTCTCATTTACAAGGGAGACCTGATTTTAACAAAGAGTGATGATAACATCCATCCATCCATTATCTTTACCCGCGTATTCCATTTTGGGTCACGGGGGTTGCCGGTGCCCATGTCCAGCAACCACTGTGCGAGGGGCGGGGTACACCCTGGACGGGTCACAAGTCCATCACAGGGCCACATAGAGACAAACGAGACAAACAACCATTCATTCTCTCACTCACACCTAGGGACAATTTAGAGTTACCAATCAGCCTAACATGCATGTTTTTGGTCTGTGGGAGGAAACCGGAGCACCCGGAGAAAACATGATGACAACAGTAGATATTAAAAGCATGTATTGAGAAGAACAAAAGAAAATTATATTTAAAAAATGAAACAAAAACAGCTAGGTTGTAAAGCGATGTAGAAAACTAAAAATAGGAACGTGTCTGCGTTGGTTTTTCCCAGGAACTTGGCAGATGTTTGAAGCCACTTAGAGAGGTCATGGTCGAGAGCTTAAGGTCTTTTTACAAGACATTCCAGGAAACAGGAGCGGAGTAGGAGAAGGCCCTTTAACCTAGTTCAGTCCTCACTGAGGGAACACTGCAGGTAATGATGTCCTGATAGCGCACGCTGTAGCTGCACTCACGTAGTGACGTGTAGGAGATGTATGAAGGCAGCAGGCCAAGAAGTGATTTAAAGATGAAAATGTACCAGTGAGAGAGTCTGCGTAAAGTTAATGATGTCCAGTTAACCAGTGAATACAGGGTGCAGTGGTGGGTACAATAATCACAGCCAGTTATAAATCTTAGTGCACCATAATCGACAGCATCCAGCATCTGCAGAGTGTTTGTAGGAGCCTTCAATAATGTCACCGTAATCAGTGGAGGGAAGGAAAGTCACAGTTACAGGTCCTTCTCAAAAAATTAGCATATTGTGATAAAGGTCATTATTTTCCATAAAGTAATGATAAAAATTAAACTTTCATATATTTCAGATTCATTGCACACCAACTGAAATATTTCAGGTCTTTAATTGTTTTAATACTGATGATTATGGCATACAGCTCATGAAAACCCAAAATGCCTGTCCCAAAAAATTAGCATATCATGAAAAGGTTCTCTAAACAAGCTATTAACCTAACCATCTGAATCAACGACGTAACTCTAAACACCTGCAAAAGATTCCTGAGGCTTTTAAAAACTCCCAGCCTTGTTCATTACTCAAAACCGCAATCATGGGTAAGACTGCCGACCTGACTGCTGTCCAGAAGGCCATCATTGACACCCTCAAGCAAGAGGGTAAGACACAGAAAGAAATTGCTGAACGAATAGGCTGTTCCCAGAGTGCTGTATCAAAGCACCTCAGTGGGAAGTCTGTGGGAAGGGAAAAGTGTGGCAGAAAACGCTGCACAACGAGAAGAGGTGACCGGACCCTGAGGAGGATTGTAGAGAAGGGCCGATTCCAGACCTTGGGGGACCTGCGGGAGCAGTGGACTGAGTCTGGAGTAGAAACATCCAGAGCCACCGTGCACAGGCGTGTGCAGGAAATGGGCTACAGGTGCCGCATTCCCCAGGTCAAGCCACTTTTGAACCAGAAACAGCGGCAGAAACGCCTGACCTGGGCTACAGAGAAGCAGCACTCGACTGTTGCTCAGTGGTCCAAAGTACAAATTTTGCATGCCATTCGGAAATCAAGATGCCAGAGTCTGGAGGAAGACTGGGGAGAAGGAAATGCCAAAATGCC